TGGCACAATATGGTTCATGGGGTCACGAAGAGTTGGACACGACTTAACGACTGAACAAATAACATTTGCACCTTATGTTTCATCCAACCTTAACTTTTACCCATGGTAACTGAAGTATCAGAACTGAATCTTTATCCTCTCCCTTGAGTTAAAGGACAACACTGGGTCATTATCTAGATAGAAATTGTGGTGATTGTGTGAAAGAATTGGATAAAAAGCTGGCCACTTTAAGAATTATGAATTGCAGGGACAGAAACCTGTCCTTCTGACATTATAGATGACAGCTCCAACAATCTGTTGCTGGTAGTCAAATTGTTTGGAGCTGTCCTCAGAAACATTGGGAGGAGGCCAAGTTGTGTACCCGATGTTCCCTTTCTGGACTTTTCAATGGTGGCACCATCCACTTAAAGCATGCATGGAAAACTTCCCTCACCCAACTTCTCTTGGTTCTTCTATTCATTAAAAGCAGTCATGGGAAATCTCTTGACCATTGTTTCCTATTCAGTCTACCATGTTTTTTCCATAGACTCCAATCTCTCTTCCAAAACCCAAGAGATGGATAAGGGCTTCAATCTCTGACAGGTTGCAGATAAACCCCTCATTTTATCTCTTCTCTCCAACCCCACAAAGTATTTTTATGTAAGAAGAAAGGCTATCTCCATGATGCAGCAGTGTCTGCATGAAAATGTGAGAAAAGGCACATGCTGAGGTCCTTTGATACCATACCAGTGTTCACCTCTGTCAGACAGGCTGCTGGGCAGCTGAGTGGGGTACATCAATAGCATTCCCAGTTTGAGGAACTCCAGCATGGAGGGACTTTCTAGTGATCAGGGTGCTATTCCCATGGATTATAGCAAACTCCCAATCTCAACCTTAAGCCTGGGCTGCCGCTGCACTGACAAGCCAGAGGGGAGAACTAGCAAAATGATCGGGTTCATCAATGTTCCATCACTGAAGCGCTTCTCGGTGCAGTGTGCGAACAAAGCATTTGATTAGAAATCACTTGTGGAGCTTTAGACTCTAGGTACAGTGGGAACGTTGAGAGTATGATAGGTATATTCACAAAACAGCTGCCACAGAAGGGCTTTCCAAGTCACCAAGTCATGATATAGGGTGTGCAAAATATTTCCCATCCATAAAATTCAATTTCCAGGGCAAAAAGCTCCATTTCAAAGTGCAAAGCAATAGTTTCATGTATGAAGCAAGGTATTCCAGTCATTTTTAATGCTTGTTTCAAGCTGAAAACACCCCCAGAATAATTGCAACTGGCCATTTTGTTCTCTCCTATGTGGATGGGGGGGGGGTGTGAAGCTTCACACATGGTGAAGCTAGGAAAAAACAAACAAAAGCCAGCTTTTGCAGGAAGCCAAGTCCAAGGCAGAAAGGTGAAGCCTAAGTTCCAAGCAAAACAATTGCTTTAAGACTTTTTCTGACCCAACATCCATTTCACAAAAAGGAAAATGATGAGGCTCAGTTACAACTGTCAAGTCAGCTGTTTCTCAGAAGGAAAAAAACCACTTACAAGAAAATGCCAATTTCACTAGAGCAAACTGGAGACATTTGGAGAAATATAGCATGCCACCGTTTTTTAAATCAGGGTTGCGTTCAGGTTTATGCTTTCATTACTGTAAAAAGTTTTTCTGCTGACAATATAGATTATTCCCTCACATATCCTCAAAATCTATTGTGATGGATCCTCCAAATATCCAGAGCAGATTTTGACAGCTAACGGGTGGGGAATCAATTTCAGTAGAAGTCTGCTACAGCAAGATGACGACTTCCACCCCATGTAAAACACACACCAAACATGTACACACAGCCTTTAGTCATCTCTTATTCCAGAAAACTCTTTGCCCACCTCCATCAACATGCTCTTAGCTTTTCTTTCTTTTGTAGGGCACGTTTTAAAATGAAATGCTGGCTGCTGCCATTCACCTTTAAAAAAAAAAAAAACTTCTACAGGCCTGAAGACATTTTTGCAAAGAAAGATTGCAATGAAGACCAGCTGACACTTCACCTGTATATCCCAATTCTCCTGTTTTTCATTTTACTTTAAATAAGAGGCAGTAGCAGCCCAATGATTCAAGCTTTAAGCCTTTTCTCCGAATGAGTTGTGGGAATAATGAAATCCCAACCCCATTATTCAAATTTCTATGATGTGAAAAAGTGAGTTTTCTGAAGCTGGTTCCTCCTAGCTATATGATTTTATAAAATAGTGTTTTTGTTTAGTTAAATTCCTGGTAATTAGGAAGAGTGCAGTACCATTCTCTAGGACCCAAGGGAGTTTATGATGAATCAGTTATTGCATAGCTCCCCCTAGTGGCTCTACCTAAGTTTGAACCACAGCTAATTACTGCCTTTACAAGCAGTAACTATTCTGCGGCAAGTTGGGAAGTCTCCATGGAAAATCATTATAAACAAGTTGTTTCCAATTACAGCACAAGTTTACTTGGGCACCCATTTTTTTAATGCCCAGAGTGGTGAATTCTTTATGCAATATTTACACATGATGAATAGCCAACAGATTTTTTTTTTTTTTATCCCAACTTTGCAGCATATGCTGCTAGAAACCAAAATGTGCCTTAACAGTAAGTTTGGAACTGACAGAGTAACCCAGAGTCCATGGAACAGGTCTGCTCCACAGCTCTGAAATGCAATCCTATGAGTCAAACACAAAGAAACCTACCATAATTACACTTTTTTTATATGAAAAGTTCCTTCTGGGTGTATGGAAAGGCTAATTTGAAACAAGAGGACATTTTAAACATCTTCACATACTTATGGAGATACAACATTGCCAGGAAAAGCTACTTCCATTATTTTATAATTATAATAACCATTATTTTAGTGGTTAATTCCTTTTACTCCCTCATAAAAATGCATATGTGATGGGCAAATACTGTATATCCGTACTGTGCTTTCACATGAAGTCAAGTAGTTCAGTCATTCTTTCTGTACAAAGGCACACTATTTACAATGTTTGTTACACACAATATAAATGTAAACATTTTTCAATAAAAGTATGTGGCAATGACTGCAAATTCAAAACGCATTTTGGGATTTTTCTTCTCCTAGAAAGCAGTCGTTTCAGTGCCATGCTAGGATCTCAGTAGGACATACAAGCCATTACATCACATGCAATTTGACTGACATAAGAATCTGGAGACTGAAGAAATGTAGAAGGCAGGCTTCATATCAATGCAACTATATATGGCACAGTATGATCTAAGGGCCCTTACATGCAAATAACTGAATCAAATATATGCTGACGTTCAGTGAGAAAGCATTATAAATTCACTATTCAGCAGTATTTGTACAACTTGCACACCAGCATTATCACAATTGAAGGAACCTGGTTTACAATGGCACAAGAAAGGCTAGAGTGGAAGATACAGCACATTAGCCTGAAGATGAAGTTCAGGTTAAAAAAAAAGAGAGATAAACCTGGAAAGTAATTCTGCAGTTTTCTATGCCTTTAGACATAGTCTTTCTCCCTTGTATTGAATTTGCATTTTATATTCAGATATATATTCTGGCTTGTGGGCCCAAAAGGTTAGAAGAACTTGGACAAGAATTTTTTGTATCTTTCCTCAGATCTATACCACTGAGTAAGAACATCCTGTTTTACAGGCATACTAAATTCCACAAATCTGTTCTGTTCTGTTCAATTCAGACAACATAATGTGGTATGAAGGTCAGCCCAGCCTTAATTTCCCCTTCAAATGCTGTTAGCATGCATCAGCAACTGAGAAGTTGAAGGCTGAGATTATAATTCTGGTACAGTATCTCTCTTTTTAAATTGATTGCTCCCTTTTCAGAAGTATATAGTATATCTTATTTTATAAAATAGAAGTGCATATGACAGTATCTAGACAGCATACATTAAGCATAACCTGGTGGTGTTTCCTAAACAGAATGGCAATATAATTATTTCAACATCAAGCTAATAGCACTTGGTCCAAGTAAAACATTATCACTTCAATTTTTTAGAGCGATGAACAGCTTCTACCTAAGTGGTGGGCTGGCAAATAGTTCATTTTCCTGCAGTATAACTGTAATTTTAGAAGATTAGAAGTTATGCCAGAGGTCAGATAGTTCACCATGATTGTTTCATAATGCCTTTCATTAACAGTAATTTTCTTCAGCCACACTGGATACTGTTACTCTCAACGGTGGCCACTTAATTATAAAGTGAGCAATTATTCTTTCCAATACTATCATGTTGGCAGGTCATTTGGACACATGCTATTTTCCTCAGTAGTATCATTCCATTCCTCATTATGGTAGGTTGAAAGGAACAAGTTTTCTAACTGTGCCAGGAATTCTTCAGCAATGAAACTATTGGCCACATTGTCCAGAGTCTTCCTCATGCATTCCAAAAGCTAGTTTAAAATTGAAGAATAAAAACAAAACCAAAAATCAGAGTTGCTATAATGACATTTGGGAGTGGGGGATGCGAGAACAACTATACATTTGTTATGATTATTTATCCAAAACCTATTAAGAACTTAAGTGCATGTTTATCTACATACACACACAAATGTATATCACACACACAAATGTATATCACACACACTACCTACAGATAGCAATCACACATTCAATAAATTGCTTCTCTACACTGAACATTCTTTGTAACTAACAGCCATACAGTTTGTTAATGTAGTTGTACTTTAAATTCTGCTACAGATAGATTATATGTGATTATATCTGTAACATGACAAACATTACATGATACAAATATTCCATATATAGAAAGCCATATCAACTGTCAATAGCTTTGCAAACACCTGTCTTCAGTCCAAGAAATCTGTCCCATGGTGTTCAGGCCTTTGTTCACTAAACACAGGCAATTTTTGCAATGCTTCTTAAAATAAGAGTTGCAGTAACAATGCTTCTTATTACATCGTTTATTCATCAAAATTCATATAAGGATTTCTTGGGATAATGATAGCCCAAACACTGTATGCAGCATTTTATAGTCTGTGTGTAATCTGAATTTGGGTGAAAGGGGTGTTGGTTGGTGACTGAAAACTTCTTGAGAAATATTGTTTGATTGGTGGTTGGAAATAGTGCCAACCCTACTCTGATTGGTTCACCTTGTCAATCTATTCTGTATGGTTTGAATCAACCACCTGACTGAGTGGTAGAGTGCATTTAGTTCCATCAAATAAAGGAGCTATCAACAGATTGATGGAACTAGTAATAATCTACCCCCTTGTCCCCACTTTTCAACTGTTGCACAGAGCAAGCCTTGCTGGAATGCAAGGTGAAATACCTAAAAAAACATGATCTCCCTAAGCCTGAATAACCTCAACTAAAAGTATGTAAAATTCATATAAAGGTCAACAGATCATTGTAAATAAAATCATGAAGACTACAACTGATGAGAAAGACAAAAGTGAGAAGGCTTAGTGTGGGCCATTCATTTCTGAAAGAATCATCTGTTGGGGCAGAATTCTGGCCATTTTAAGCTACTTAAAATTTATATATCTTGATTAAAATTAAGAAAGTCAGGTCATAGGTTTCTGAAGACAACTTCAATTGACCCAAGAGAATTCTGTTCTATTTTGTCAAGCATTCATTAATTTCAGTATTTTGTAAGAGTAAATTGCTTGGAAGCCTCAGCAAAGAAATGGTAAATACATGCAAATAAATAAGCACTACATTAGTGTCACTGATTTTTTTTTAGCACAATTTCTTTCATATTTAATAGGCTGCATCCAGATTTAGATACACTTAGCATAGATTACCAAAACCAATGACATGAGTTATCATACTTAGAATAGACCAACTGAAATTATAATTAAATCTGGATCCAACTCAAAATTTCCATCATAATTAGGCACAGTTAGGCTGCCTGGAAAAAACTGCAGGTGAGAAACAAAGAATTTTATAATGATTACCTTTTGCAAACACGTTAGGTCTGAATCTCTATGGAAGATTTTATCCATGGGCACACAGCTATTGAATGAAATATGGCAAGACAATGTCAGAGGATACATAAAAGTGTTCTTTATTGACATACATACTAATTTGGACTGTCTTGAAAGATTCCAAAATGCAAGCAGCTACACACCTATGAGACATTCTGTATTTTTCAATTATCCACTGTGTTTTTTCCAATACTAGCTCCCACTGAGGTTCTTCCAACATTTGTTGCACTTCAAACTTGTATGGCAGGCCTGTAAGCCATTAAAACATATAATGTTTTACACAGAATCATTATATACAAAAAATGCTGCCTCTGTTAGGTTTAAAATGTATTGTTCACCTCTATTTGTATTGACAAAAATGCACAACACTGGCTTATACCATCAAGACCTTGATCTAATTATCTTAATTACAGCCCAAATTAGCTTAAGTTCTAAAATCAGGTTCAAATCTGTGTCAAATTGCTCATTTAATTGCTTGTCCATAGTATAATTGAGCAGAAAATGCATGCCTTGTTAATTTCAAAAATGAGATGTATTATACAAACTATAAAGCCATTTGATTATAATTGGAAACATTTAACATCTTGGATATTCAAACCTTTAATTATTGAAAGTGATATTGCTTTTCTTTTCCTCCCCTCTTTCTGTCACAGATAATCCTATACTCCAATTTATACAAACTTCAATTGTCTTCATGTTTTGGATATCAATTTACAAAGGATTATTGATAATATCAAGAGATTAAAGGCTAGATATAGATTCTACAAATCCATGGGATAACTTCTCTATAGCTTAGTTTTTCCAATTTAACCAGGCTGCTCTGTTGATAATATTTTCTAAGATCTAGATTTAACTAAATTACTCGAACTCAGAAAAAAAATCTACTTCCTATAATTTTCCTGTACACAGGCATTTCATACACTTAGACAACCATATGTTCATTTATGCAGACCATTAAGAACTAAAAGATAATTTATATACTAGTTACTGAATGTAGTCAAGCAGATGCTAGCAACCATCTGACAGGGATACTTTAGACTGAATTTGAGTTCTAACGTTCTAGTACAAACAAGAAACAAAAAGTTAAACAAGGGTCAGCAAATTGTTCATGTGTCAGGCACAACTGTAATAATGCAGATGCCCCCCCCCCCCAAAAAAGACCCAAATCAAACAAGATAATATAATCTTGCACACTTTTGCCTCCCATAAATATTATGGGAAAATGTTCAATTCTGGTATGTTGGATCATTTTTCAAATATGTAATTTAAGTTTGGGGTCTATGGGTGCCTCTTAGGAATCTTATGACTACTGCAGTGCCTATAAGCACTGCATTGCTAATCACAAGGCTAAACAATTAGGACCTTGTATAACTGTAACATGATCCAGGATTTAGTAAGTACCCTAAAATTTATATCTACCTCCACCTTCCCTATGTGTGTATGAATTTTCTCCACTACCTGATCTCTCTATCCATGTTGCAATAACACTGTTCACCTCCTTTGAGAACCTAGACAGAGGTGAAAAGAAAAGACAGAAGTTGAAAATGTATACGCTCCCATAATTTATTCCAGTCTCTCCAACTTTTATCAGAATTCAACATTTTCCATAAAATTTATGGGCGGCCAAAATGTGCAAGATTCCAGTATTCCTGAGCCAGCATGACCATTACTGAGAATTTTGGAAATTGGTCCACAATATTGGATGGTGTCCAGCTAGGGGGAAGCTTACCTGCTCCTACCCCCCAAATGCTTGCTCCATTGTAAAAGCAAAAGCTGGTCACAGATTCCTATGACACTAGCAGTTATTACCTTGGTGTTTTGGTTCAAATTAATTAATTAAATTAATATTCAGTTTCTAAAAACTAGCTTATATTTTCCTTCCCCACTCTCCAGGTTTCTAATTATATTGACTCTTCCTCTTATCTTTCCAAAGCCTGCTTTTAAAACAAATTTAAAAATAACCTATAACAGAATTATTTTAAAAAACACTTACGGTAGGATCCATCTGAACTAGTCTCATCACTTATTACAAGACAAGTGATCTGAGAATATGGAAGAGGATTATTTCGATTATAAGGACTTACGATCATTCCAACAAACATTGAGCCACCTCTGGAGAAATAGCTCTGGAGAAAAATAAGAATGCAATAAACAAAACATATACTTTTCTTTCTGTGTATATAATCAAGAATGCAATCCAAATGTATCAATCAATAATAGCATTACGTTGTGTTTTTTATTATTCAAAGTTGTATATGCCCAGTAAAAAAATGGCATTAGGTTTTCAACAGTTATGAGTTATATTCTTTTTATTCAAGGCAGGGAGATGTTACCTGATATTTTGCCTGGGTATCAATATCACGTATGGAAGGATTAGGGTCAAAAGCAGGATGAGAATGATACCATCCAATGATACTGTAACCTCTAGCAGCCAGTGTCTCTGATGCTTGAGTCTGAGATACTGGGTCCATTTCACACTGCAATCCTGTACTAAGGCTATTGCATGGTTCTGCTGCACAGACCTGTAGTTAACCAAACCAATATGGAGGGTTTAATGGGGACAGTACAATTGAATGATTTTTTTTTTTTTAGATTCTGAAGAACATGCTCTATTTCAAAATAAATGTCTGAATTCCATATGTACAGTGCTCAAGCGCTTAAACAGATGCTCATAAGTGGATATTGTAAGATACTCTGTTTCAATCCAGTCCACTGTAGCTCAGCTCCTGTGCTCAAAGCTGTGCTCCAAATTACAGTGGTACCTCGGGTTACAAACGCCTCTACTAACGAACTTTTCGGGTTACGACCAGCTCCAGCCGCAAAAATTTACCTCGGTTTGCAAACTCTGCCTCGGGTTATGAACCGGATCCGCAGCCATTTTCCCTCCCGTGACACGGTCTGCGGCCATTTTTCCGCCCCTGACACGTGGTCCACGGCCATTTTCCACCCTTGACACGTGGTCCGCGGCCATTTTTCCGCCCGACATGTGGTCCGCGGCCATTTTTCTGCCCCTGACACGTGGTCCGCGGCCATTTTCCGCCCCTGACACGTGGTCCACGGCCATTTTCCACCCTTGCCACGTGGTCCGCGGCCATTTTTCCGCCCGACATGTGGTCCGCGGCCATTTTTCTGCCCCTGACACGTGGTCCGCGGCCATTTTCCGCCCCTGACACGTGGTCCACGGCCATTTTCCACCCTTGCC